TTTCAACACAGAAACAGACTTTCCTGCTGAGAGCAGAAAGACCTGTGTCATTTTGCATCCTGCCTTTGTCTCTCAGGAAGCAGTTTTCTGATTGTTCTTAAATCTGAACAAATTGCAACAAATAGAGATGTTTTCAAACACTTGGCATCCTCTATACGCAAACCATCAAAGTGGGAGGGGAGCGGAGCTGTTCTGGAGCTTTCTGAAGGAGGAGCAGTGTGGTATTTGTTGGTTATCACGGCCTGATTAGCGTGGTCACTCGCACTGAACACGCAGGCACGATACACATGGCCGCCGCCAGTAGTATGTGTTAAAAGAGACTGAGTACTAAATCCGGCTTACTTCTGAGTTCCCAAGTTGTCCATTAAAGTGTATCATTTAATAGCAGCATTTGATGATTTCCAGATTAAAACAGTCACTTAAGCATCCTCATTGTTTTCTTTGTTCCCTTCCTAGGCCTTTTAAAATAGTCATAGAGGATTTTGTATCAACTCTCAACGCCAAATAAATTGAGAAAGAAGTTACTAACGACAACACTTTGGAACCTAGAGAACAGACAGATAAATGGGATTTAACTTAGCAAACCCAAGAAAGTCAAAACAGCTAGCAATGGGAGGTGAGAGGTCATTTTTTTTTTTTTTGGTTTTTCAAGACAGGGTTTCTCTGTAGCTTTGGTGCCTGTCCCGGAACTAGCTCTTGTAGACCAGGCTGGTCATCTTTACACTATCTAATCCCCGCTCCCCCGCCCCCCCCCCACAAACAGCTCAGGAGCTGGCTCTGAGTGACCACGAAAGCCGGACTGCTACCAGAAAAAGCGGCATGTCTAAGGGCAGTTGAATCCAGGCTCCCGGTCCCGCTCCCTGGTACCTGGAAGTTAGCCTTTGGTTAGGTAGAGCAGGGAAATCTTTGCACAGGGGCCATCTGTGCAGAGGAGGGATGGGGTGCGGGCTGAAGATGAACAAACAGTTCCACACTGAGGCTCCCCAGACGCCCCCTACAGACTCCCAACTAGATACCAGCCAGGTTCTCCAGGGAACAGGAACTGATAAACAGCAAAGACATGAGGAGGCTTCCCCAAGAAAACAGGTCACTCAACTCCTCAGCAGGGTAACCTCTAAGCTGTAATAGACTCTTTTAAGCAAGACTGGGAAACCAAAAATTACCAGACACCCAAGGAAATCCTCCAAGACTTCTGAAGCCTCTGATACCTTAAACTCCCTTACTGGAGGGTAATTGAGGAAGACCCTGAGCCATCTGAGAATAAAGGGAAAGGGTGGTGGGTGCTCATTCCTTGGCCTACTATCCTTAAAGTGAAGACAGCAACATGCTGGTCAAACAAGCCAGTGCCATGAAGACCAATACTGCACGGCTCCCTGTGTACACAGAGCAACCACACATGGAAACCAAAAACAGCACAATGGCTGCTAAAAGCTGAGATGGGATCATAGAAGTCGCTCAGTGGGTATGATTACACAGGATGAAAAGTTCTAGAGGTCTACTATACAATAATATACATGTATCTAATAATTCTGTTAGCTTGAGTCTTTGTGTAAATTAGCATATGTGTTTCTGTCACCGTAAGAACAAAGATCAAAGCAGAGTGGTGTCAAAAACAAATAGAGAAGGAGAAGAAATGCCCAATGGGACTGTCATTACCATCTTCAGAGAAGTGAGAGTAGTGTCCTGGTTGTTTCTCTCTTGCTGTGGTAAAACCCTGGCCAAGACAACTTGGGGAGGAAAGGACTTATTTGACCTTACAGGCTGCAGTCCCTCATCTAGAGAAGTCAGAGCAGGAACCTGGAGCCATCTCTTCATGACATCCATATTGATCAAAGCCCCTATGCTGTGGGATAATGTTCTTGTATACTGTAAAGATTTGACACTCATATTAGTTCAATAAAACACTGACTGGCCAGTAGCCAGGCAGGAAGTATAGGTGAGGCAACAAGACTAAGGGAATTCTGGGAAGGTAAAAGTCAGAGAGCAAGTCACCAGCCAGACACAGAGAAAATGAGATGAGAATGCCTGACTGAGGAAAGGTACCAAGTCACAAGGCTAAACATAGACAAAGTTATGAGTTAATTTAAGTAAGAGCTAGTTAATAACAAACCTGGGCTAATAGACCAAACAGATTATAATTAATAAGCCTCTGTGTATTTCTTTGGGACTGAACAGCTGTGATATTTGTCAGGACAGAAACATCCATCTACACATCTAACATTTTCAAAGGAGACAGTGTTGTCATTAATAAGTTCTCTACCAATTTATTTGACAAGAAGTTTGCACCAATGGTAAGCACATAGGTGATAACAAAGTTCACAGTAAAGAGGATTGTTATCCCAACATGGCAGCACATAACTAGTTCCAGCACTCAGGAGGGAGTTCGAGGCCAGCGTTTGCTCCATTGAGAGACTGACAAGCTACTACTAACCCTACCATAGAATTTAAAATGAGGTCAACGAATTGACAGGTGGTCATAGTAAATTGTATGAGTTAACTATGAATATCTCTCAGGTGTGCATAATGGTATAATTGTTGAATAGTACCTAACAAAACAAAGTATGAATATAGGTATGTATGTACGTATGTAGGCATGCAGGCATGTATGAAATGGTCTAGTGCATAAGGCAGCAGAGGTTGTTAGTTGTAGCATGAGTCAGACTGACCATTGTCTTCAACAGTGGGGGTCTTGGATAATTTTTCAAACAAAGCAATTGTAAGAAGTAATAAGATTGTAACCATCTTACTTGATTAAAATAAATCTAGGTGTTGAAAGTGGTCGCTCTGGGTAAGAAAACGTTTGTTGCCAGAGGAATATGACTGTGTGTCTGTGTTTGTAAAGCATGGTGGAGCTGATTTGCATTCAGCCCTGACATGTTTAATCCTGCAGAGATCCAAATGCATCAGTTTTTATTGCCACCCTATTAACAATAGCCAAAATATGGAATCAGCCTAAGTGTCTGTCAGCAGAATGGCAGCTAAATAAAGTGTGGTTCCTAAAGACAGTGATAGACGATGGCATGGAGTTTGTGCAGTTAGAAGGAAGAAGGAAGGAAGAAGTTGGGCTGGGATATGGCTCAGTGGATAAGTGGTATCTGTGGGAGCATAAGGACCTGAGTTCAGACGGCTGGCCCCCACATAAAGCTGTGTGCCTCTGTAACCTTAGTGCTGCGGCTGGCACAAACAGGGGACAGGGGGATCCCTGGAGATCACTGGCCAGACATCCTAGCCAACTGATGAGTTCTAATTGAGTGATAGGCCCTCTCTCAAGAGAGAGGAAGGTGGAGAGGAGAGTGAAAGACACAATGTCAACCTCTGGCTACCACATGCACACACTTGTGTGTGTGTGAACTCACACACAAACAGGTACACACAAAAATGCCAAAAGAAAAATAAAATTGTGTCACTTGAAGCAAAAATAGACAGACATAATAAATAATAAATAAATAAAATGGATCTGGGAACCAGCATGCTAAATAAAATAGGCCAGACTCAGGAAGGCAGATATTGTGTGGTCTCGCTCGTATGTGGGATATATATTCAAATATACACGTGTGACATCACATGGAAATGGGACTACTGATGGAGAGGAGCAGGGCTAACAGGGAGGGAGACGGGAAAGGGGTGGACTTTGAGCAAAATACTTGACATGCATGTGTGACATTCCCAACAAAATCTGTTATTTTGTACACTTATTTTTAAAAAACTAATGTAGATTTATCTAACTTTTATGAAAAAGTTTTAAAGTAAATAAACAAGCAGGACACTCTCGTGGGGACACATACACACCAAGAAGATATCTGCCACTGTGAAGTCCACAAGCCTTGCATTTAATTCCAGGAATCCAGTATCTGCAAACCTATTGGTATTTTAAAATGATTTGGTAAAGTCCAAGGGAATTAATTTTTGATTGAATTAAAGTCTTCAAACTGGAAGCTTAGCTGTCCCAACACATAGATTCGGTCATCGCTCATCCACAGTGGGGAATAAACAGTGTTTGTATTTTTAGCTTAGGCACATAAACTTTTGCAGAAAAGCACAGGGTTGGAGAGGCAGGATTGATTATGTGGTTTCTGGAATGCCCGGAGTGACCAGAGCTGGGTTTAATTGCTTAGCCAAAGTAGTTCCAGGGCATAAATTACTTGCAGGGTAATTTATACCCAGAGAATAGACTAGGAATACAAATACACAATGGTCTCTGGTAACTTGAAAGCCATTAAATAACCCACACACACAGCAAGAATGGCCCAAATGGCATGGTAACCCAGCCAATTGGCATAAAAATGATTTCCAAAGATTTGGTTTCCCTCTCCTTTAGGCTTGTGCGGGATAACTGATTGACAGCCACCTAACAGGAGTGTTCGGAAACTCTAAATAAGGATGACCAGTGTTAGAAGTGTGCCGTCTATTGCTTAAGCAATATAACAAAATTGATCTTTTAACTGAAACTGCCCTCTCTCTGAGCAGCTCTATTTTATCATCAATGCAGCATGTTTTGTACCAGAGATGAGCTGTTTGCCCTTTTCCGTCCTTCTGAATATATAGAACATATGTTTAATAGATAGTATTTTTGAAAGGGACGGGATACAAGAATGCAAAGAAGAGCGGTGTATTCACATGTCCTGTTCCGCATGGAAGCAAATAAAATTCATAGCTGCTGGCCACCCAGATGTTTCTGCACGCAGCAATATGCATCAGAGTACATTGTACGGCCATAGTTCCAGTAAACTAGACAGTTGTATATTCTAAATTCGGTAGAGAGATCCAGTGTGTATATTTTATCTTCTAATTAGCTTCCCTTCTCTCCCTCCCCACTCCATTTTCTTGGGCATTTGCTGCTCAGAAACAAAAGACATTTATAGCTCAGAGTTTAGCCGTATCAGGGAGTAAGCGCGGGTCAGGCCTGATTTATGTGGCATCGCCGATAAGCCAGAGAGAGTGGGACACGGGGTTAGGTAAAGCTAGTGAACTTGGCTTGGCTTGTGTCTTTGATTCCGTAGGCAGCCAATATCCCTCTGGTGTCAGAGCTGGCCATCGACGACATTCATTTTGATGACTTTTCCCTTGACGTTGACGCCATGATCACAGCTGCCCTCCGGATGTTCATGGAGCTGGGCATGGTACAGAAATTTAAAATCGACTACGAGGTAAGAGGTTCTGTGATGGAGCTAAGGGTTGCCCCTGGCGAAGTGTCGCAGCCAGTGTGATATAAAGGCTTTTTCAAAGATGCTCTGTAGGCAGTGGTTCCTGCCTGTGGACCCATGGAAGTGCCGCAAGAATCTGGAAGAGTGTTAGTGGAAGTTTAGGGTTTTGTTTTGGTTTGTTAAAATGTCTTTATTAGATTTGTCTTGTGTTATGTGTTTTGCCTGTGTGTAAGTGTGGGCACTGCGTGCATGCCTAGGACCCGGGGGGGGGGGGGGTCAGAAGAGGTCACAGAACACCCTCATACTCCAGGTAAAGTTGTGAACCAGACCCCGATCTGCCACCAGCACCATAGTTGCTCTTAACAACTCAGCCACCTGCCCAGTCCCTGGTGGAACGTCCTGATGGCCTTGGTGTCCCTTAAATGGTAGTCCTCTGAGGACACAAACCCGTCCCTCACACAGCCTCCCCCTCCCATTTCAGACCCTGTGCAGGTGGCTTCTGACAGTGAGGAAGAATTACCGAATGGTTCTCTACCACAACTGGAGACATGCCTTCAATGTGTGCCAGCTAATGTTTGCCATGCTCACCGTAAGTACATCTGTGAATGGCGGAAGGCCACCTTCTCTTCGTGCGGACCTCCTGGCTTTCTCCTGTATATTTCAATGCCACTGAAAAGTTTCCCCGTGGTGATGTCATGGCAACCCACACATGTCCTGGTTATGGTTGCATACATTTGACAACAGCTTCTTTAAAGCCACAAAAGCATCAACACCTTAAGACAGGGGTGCAGCCCTAGAATGGAGACTGGGGCCTTTTCCCAGTGTTCTCTGTTGGCAATCTAGTTCCTTTGCCCAACCTTACTCCCTGCCCCTAACACCTGGACTTTCTATGTAATTTCTTTGTGGAGGAAATAGAGATACGTCACAGAGCAGAGAACCCCCTGGATAAGATTGAGAGGGGGTGTGGGCATGACCGTGAGAATCTGGAATTCTGAAAGAACACTTGCTTGGGGAAATGTCCAGTGGGGCCTAGGGAGAAGGAAGGGGTAAGAGGAGTGGACACCCAGGTTCAGAAGCTCACTACGCTGAAACTATCTGTCCCCTGGCTTCTAGCCCGTGTGACTTGTCGAGAAGACCGGCACAGCTGGCCAGAAAAGGCCTCGAGGATTAACTCTGAAAGCAAATGTTGATGGCAAGGATCAAAACAAAGCCCTCTAGTTATTCCCATTTGCTAGTGAGAAACGTTTTCTGGTGCCTACTTGCATTGCTAAATGACCAAGGAAAGTGTTCCTGATTTCAGTATGTTAGGTTCTCTGCTGAATAGGAACATAGACAAGTTTAGATATGTACACATTGTGAATATATATAAATATGCTTACTATACAAAAATGGGGGATGGGTTCCAGATTCTTACAACATTAATACAAATCCCTCATGTCTTTGTACCCATCTTAAAATTTAGACACAAATTAGGGACTTCTGTGTGAAATGCAAATGATGACAGAACATCCTACCTCTTCATCCTAATCTCCACCCTGCTCTCTGCCCATTAAACGCCCCCCCAACCTTGAAGGTACTGATTCAATGCCAGTTTTTCTACAGAGTTCCTCGTTCTCCTAAAACACCAGCCATTCCTTCCTCCTCCACTGTACCAGTGTAGGCGGTGTTTCTAGCAAGTGTCGTAAGTTCCCAATGTCTCCTTCTCATTAATTCCACCTGAGGAAAGGGACAGTTCCTTACTCCTTCAGCACATGTGTTCCCAGCCTCTACATTCCAGCACACCCGTCCTCTGCCGTGCGCTGGGTCAGCTCTCAACCGCGGGATTGGTCCTGCCTTCTGCTGTCTACACCATCAGAGCTAAGAGTACGGAGGGGAAATGTTTCGGCTCGAGAGGCTTACTTGCCCAGTGGCCAACACTGCCTGGAAACCAAAACACCTTCATCTTGCTCAACTTTAACAGAGCTTAGCAGACGAGAAATAGTTTGCAGGTGGGGAACTCACGAGTCCAGCTTGCTGAGGGCAATGACTTATTAACCAGTTACCTTGGAAAACCTGTGGATTTGTGGAATTTTCAAAATAAGCAAGCAGATAAAGGAAATAGAAATGTCCGTGATACTGTGTTGTAGATATCAAGGTGTTTTTTTTATGACAAGCCTCTGGGGACACAGGCATCTGGCAGCAGCGGCGTGGGGGTGGGAGGGTCATGGTGCAGCCGCAGGTGTAGAAAGGATTGAATATTGAGCTTTCATCACTGAACGTGTTCGTGGTATCAGCAGTCTTGATGCTTCTTAAGTAGTGTTTAAAAAAAAAAAAAGGCAAAGCATTCCAGCTATGCCCCATCTTCCATGTTTGGGGGCATCGTCCTGTCAGAGTATTTTAAGGGTGTTTGTGTTTGCTCAGCAACTTGGAGAGCGTCACTGTTAGGAAAAGTCTGGGTTTTGTTTTTGTATCCATGCTGATGCAAAAATAGAAGCCTTCACTGTTGGAGTTCTCCCAGGGCGACGGGCGGGAGGCTGCGAAGTACAGAAAGGGGTCTTTGAAGAGAGGATGTCAGCGGATATTATTCCATTCTCCCGCACTCAGACCTGTGCCGTGGCATCTGGAAGAGTCATTGCTTTCCGCTCCGGGGTTCCGCTGAACTTAGTGAAGGATTACGCGAGGCTGAAATGCTAACTCCTGTTTTTTTTCCACACAAGCATCTTCTCCCGCTTTGATCTTGGAAAGTCTGGTTAAGCCAAATTTTTTGAATCAAGACAGCACTTCTGGAGATGGTGAAGACTGTTTGACCTATGCAGACCAAGTTCACTTCAAATCTAGTTTCTGACGTATGATCTCCTGTGGGAAAGGACAGCCTTTATGTCTGTGTGGGCCCCAGAGCTGCACTCAGCCCTGGAGTCCCCTGAGGTCTCTCACGAGTTCCTTTGCACTGGACATCCTGCCTCCATTCACAGGATCACACATTTTACTTCTGGGTGAGAAGTTAAAGCCAAAACCAAACTTTTCTATTAATCTGGATTTTTTTTTTTTTGAGGCAAGGCATGTAGCACAGGCTGGCCTTAAACAAGCCATGTAGCTGACAATGCTCTTGAACTTCTTTTTAAAACATGTTTTTTATTATTTTTGAGAATTTTCAAGCATACATACAATGTATTTTGAATATATCCACTTCTCACTCCTTCCTAATTCTTATCAGATATGCTTCCCCTCCTCCTCATCCCAACTTGGCATCATTTTTTTTATTTTACTTTTAATTTTGGGGCAATTTCACACATTTTCAACTTACACAAGTTGCACCTCCTTGTCACCATCTAACACTTCCCTTGCCCCCTGCTCCCTCTCCAACTCATGACCTCCTCTTCTGTAGTTGCATAATTATAATTTACACAACTAATTATGATTGTATATCAGTTTTCTGGGCCCACCTGGTATTGTCACTATGTGTATATGTTTAGGGCTGACCTCCTAAACATATGGGATTGGATAATTGGGAGCTCATTGCTGGAGAAGATGGATTCTTCCTCTCTCAGAAGCCACTAACTGCCTGTTGCTCTTCATCTAGGAGTGGGGCCTTGTGAAATTTCCCCATCCACGGGGGCATGTCAACAAGTGTTGTCATTACACGGGTCTCGTTGATATTTTATGGGTGTAGCTTCCCTGCCGTATATAGAAGGCACAGTCTCAGAGAAGACTTCTTGGTCCTCTGGCTCTTACAATCATTCTGCTCCGACTTCCAAGACGTTCCCTGAGCCTTAGGTGGAGGAGTTGTATCCATTCTGTTGTAGACATATCCATTGTGGTTGGACACACCGTGGTCTGTTGCTTTCAGCCTTTTGACCAGTTGTGGATTCTTGAATAATCTTCATCTAACAATCTTCATCTGCTGCAAAAAGAGGCTTTTTCGATGGGGGAGCGGGTGAGAGCTGACCCTGTGGGGATAAGAGCACATGCTTAGAATACTGCTAGGAAATATAACCATTTGGGAAAGCAGCCATACTAGGCTCTCCTCTGGGGCCTATGACCTCGCCAGCCATGGGAAGTTGGCTAAGTTTACAGCACCAAACATGAATTCCCTCTCCTTGAGCAGGACAGAAATCCAAGTAGGCAGCTGTTGGTTACCTCCAAGGTATCAGCGCCACTATCACACGCTTGGGGATATTTTGCCACATTCTGGTCATTGTGGGGTTAGGAGTTTTACCAGCTAGATGGGACTGTTGGTTGGTGTTTGTGTTTTGACAACTTATGTAGCCCTCTTAGAGGCTATGAGAGCTGGTTTTCAGGGCGCAGGCTTCCTTGTCACTTCTGGCTCAATTCCTCCGAGTGCTGCATCAGAAGTATGTAGTAGCTTCAACAGCAGTTGAGAGACTGCATACTACACGTTCTGGGAGGCAATCAAAAGCAATAGCAATAGGCTGCATTAGTCTCTTCGACTCCCCCACATACACCTGGTGGTGGAACTCAAGAGGAAGTTTCCCATGCCTGGCCCTGGGGGGATTGTTAGAATCCTGAGAGAGCGTTATTGCTCTAAGTAGCATAACCACATTTAAACTGAGTATATGTACAGAGAGAGAGAGATAACAGAAAGGGAGGGAGAAGGAGGAAGGAAGGGAGGGAGGAAGGAAGGAAGGAAGGAAGGAAAGAAAGAAAGAAAGAAAGAAAGAAAGAAAGAAAGAAAGAAAGAAAGAAGGAAATCTTTAGACTATACCCCCACCATCTGGTTCAGTCTCCATCACAACGCCAAGAGAATGCACTAAGTGTGCTGAAAAATTTCCTCTAGATGGCGCTCCAAGGCAAAATTTCCCATTCAATCTCTGGCAAACAGGCGGGCAGTCAAACCTTGAAAGTTTCTTCTCTTCCGACACAAGAGACACTAAGGCACACAGACCAGTCTAAAATGAATGTTTTCTTTTAGAACATGCTCACCAACAAAAGCCGGTGTGTCGCAAAGTAGCCTGTTCTGTGAGGATGCCCTGTGTGACGACTCTCTCCTGACCCACTGTGGGATAGTATGCCTTCTCCTGCGACTTGAAACCTGATGGCGCGGGGTTTCATAAATCTATTGTCTGGGAGAAGGGGGAAGGTGCACAGCTATAAGTCACTGCTGAACAGATTTGGCCCACAAACGATGGGACACTGAAATTATAAATATATACACCAATTTCCCTAGACTTAATCGCTAAAATCATTTCACACAGAGGAAAATAAGATTATTGACTCAGAACGGTTTTGCAGAAATCTTCAGGCTCATGTTTAGGAAACCAAATAATTTTAGCTCACTGGAAATTAAAAGAAACAAAGGAGAACATCATAGGACAAGCAATTTGATATGGATTTTGATGGACATTCAGTTCACCTTGAACCTCATTGAACACTTATTTATTTGTTCCAAGCTGCTGACAGTAAATTAAAAAAAAAAAAAAGTGGAATCAAAGCTTCAAGGTTATCTTTTGTTCTAAAGAGATACCTATATAGTTCAAATTTACTGAGTTTTGGCTTCCTCTCATAAATAAACTAGGTAATGCTGTCGTCATTCGTGACTAAAACAGAGAATAAAAACATCAATGGTACCTATACAAATTCTCCTTATTTATG